TTTTCTTCTTGCAGAGAGCCTATAAACAGATGTGCAAGTAGGAGAGATATCGCTAAATTCTTTTCCTAGCAAGGAATATAATATTAAGACCCTAGGAAAAGAACTGCATTCCTGGAGGGAGGTCTATATACGGCTGCTCTGGGAGTGTCTGTCCTATGTGGTTGAGATAAGGACTGAGATATGCCTTGGTCTCCTGCAGTACCCTCAGGCTTACTAGGATTGGGAAACACCAGCCCTGGTAAATTTGAGGTCAGACTGGTTCTCTGCTCTCGAACCCTATTTTCTGTTGTTTAAGATGTTTATCAAGACAATACATACACCACTGAATATAGACGCTTATCAGGAGTTTCTGATTTTGCCTTGTCCTGTTTCCTCAGAAGCATGTGATCTTTGCTCTGCTTCTTTGCCCCTTTAAAGTATGTGATCTTTGTGACCTACTCCCTGTTTGTACACCCCCTCCCCTTTTGAAATCCCTAATAAAAACTTGCTAGTTTTGTGGCTCAGGGGCATCACGGACTTGCTGATATGTGATGTCACCCCCGGAGGCCCATCTGTAAAATTCCTCTCCTTGTACTCTTTCTCTTTATTTCTCAGACCGACCGACACTTAGGGAAAATAGGAAGAACCTACGTTGAAATATTGGGGGTGGTTCCCCCAAGAAATCTCCTTATTTTTAAGGATAGAAAGTCGAGGCCAAGAGAGTACTGTGCAGACCTTGTTAGAATAGAACCACTCATCTTTTTAGCTTCCACATATTCACTTGCTTCTTCACAAGTTACTTGGTCTAATTCAGTACATAAGTAACTGACTCTCACTGCTTCTTCTGCACCAGGTAAAACTTGCATTAAATAAATGTGTGTGTTGGCCAGGCATGGTGGCTCATGCCTGTAATCCCAGCATTTTGGGAGGCCAAGGCGGGTGGATCACCTGAGCTCAGGAGTTTGAGACCAGCCTGGCCAACATGGCAAAACCCCATCTCTACGAAAAATACAAAAACTAGCCAGGTGCGAGGGTGGGCACCTGTAATCCCAGCTACTCAGGAGGCTGAAGCAGAAGAATTGCTTGAATCTAGGAGGCAGAGATTGCAATGAGCTGAGATTTCACCACTGTACTCCACCATGAGTGACAGAGCAAGACTCCATCTCAAGAAAAAAAAAAGTAGTATGTGCTTTTCTCCTGTGTACCTGTCTTATGTCTATTTAATTCTCAGGCACAGCCAAAAAAAAAAAAAAAAAAAAGCCCTTAAAGGGGAGCTTAGCTTTCCTCTATGATTCAATGGTGACTCTATCCAAACACCATCCTCCAGGCCAACAATACCACATCCTATGGCCTTGCACCAGCATGGCATCTCTGGAGGAGAGGGAGGCAAGGGTGGTGATCTCATGCCTCCCTCACTGTACCTCCTTTAGTTATGTGATTCCTGGTGTCACCTCACCCACCACACCGTGGGCTCCAGGGAGCAGGATTCACATGGGGTTCGTCCATCCTCCCTGGCTCCACCAGACTCCAAAGACAATAAAGGGCTCACTGTCTATTTCCCGGGTCAATCACTTTCCCCCGAAGCCCATGAGGTGAGCACAGCTTACAGCCTAAGGACAGGCTCCAGGCTGTGGCACAGAGAGGGGACCCCCAAGAGCCGTGTGGACTCTGCTGAGGACCCACAGGAGCTCCCAGAGGCCAAGTGCAGGACAGAGATCAGAGAAGCAGCTGCTCAGAGAACTCTAGCCCTGCAGAGGCCCAAATATGGCTGCCATTATACACAAGGTGAGGCCAAAAACGCTGGAGACATTGCTCCTGAATCTCATTTTGTCACTTGTAAAAGAGGGAAAATGATCTACCCTCATCTCCCCAGGTTGTTAGGAAAATCCACTACCTGAAAATGTGCAGTCACTGGCTGGGAGCAGGACACCAGCTGCCCAACAGCACAGGCTCGGGGCACGGCACTGTCCCCACTACCCCCATCCCCAACCTGGAAGTTAGAGCCTCGCTGTCCTGCCACTCCTGGATACAGGACAGAGGACCGGAACCGGGACCACGGTCTCTCAGTAGGGGCTGGGTGAGCAGTCATCTGCAGTCACCTGGATGGAGACCTTTCCTGCTCACTCTTCGAACTCCAACCCAGGCCGGGCACCCACCAGAAGGACAACTGGAAGTGTGGCAGGTAAACCAGGCTGTGGCCCTGCAGTGCCATCACTGTCCTCACTTGAACTCTGGCTCCTCTGTTCCTTGATGGCCCCTCCGCATGGCGCTCCACTCCAGTCTTAAAAAGTTTTTGCCCTAAGCTCAGGGAGCCGGTACTGAGGTGCAGGTAGAAGCAAGTGTAGCCTCTGCTGGGTGGAGGACATATGCCCTGGGGATCCAGAGTCCAAAATGACTGACACCAGCCCTGAGGATGTAATTCATCCTCCCACACCTGGTAACACAGCCCTCTGAGGTTTACACAGGGCTGCTGAAGATCTTTATCTCCTCTTTACTTTACAGGCAGGAGCTGGGGCCACACTAGTGTCACAGAGCTGGAGGGGAAGCACAGCAGGGCCCAGCTGTTCCCAGCCTCCAATCTCAGGAGTCCTTGAGAGCCTCAGAGTCTAAGAGTCTGAGCCATTGGATCTATTCGATTCCTACTTTGATAAAGAGAGGGGCGGGGTAGAAGCACCTGTCACAGAGATTGAACCAGTCCAACGTTGACAGACCCAGGACCTGGGGTCAGGAACTGAGCTCAGCTCCAGGCTCATCTGATATCCTCCTGAAAGCCTGAGGACGGAGACCTTATCTCCATTCACAGGCATGGTGGGTGGCAGGGAATTGCCCCAGCTGACCATGGTTTCCCAGGTGCATAGCTGGGAATTCGGTCTTCCCTGCCACCCTCCCCTGCTGTCTCATCTGGATCCCCTGGTCATCTACTGGAAGTAGATTTGGTACTTTGGTACTCCCAGTACCAAAGAACTCCTGTATCCTTGAAAATTCCTAATACCATGAAGGAATGGAAGTACATAACGATGTGATGAATCATGTTTTACTTCCTAGACTAGCAAAAAATGAAAGCTAAGTATAGCAAGGGTGTAGGGACACAGGCACATTTGTGGACTAGGTGTCAGTATATGCTGAGTTCAACGGTCTTTTGGAGGAAAATCTGTGAACATCTAAAGAAACTTCTGAAACCATTTATCCCACAGAAGTAGAAGTAAAATTATACTTCTAAGGAGCTGTCCAATAAGCTGGTGCACATGGATATGTGGACACACGATACATACAAGGGTATTTAGTACAACGTTGTTGGAATTAGCAAAGGCAAAGTCAGGGTGGCATCTAACAAACTGCCCCTAGGCAGTAACAGTGAATTAATCTGTGGCTTACCCATGCAGTAAAATACAGTACCCTTGTTTAAAGGAAGATCAATCTGAATGTACTGCCATAAAACATCTAATATGATTTGTGTTAGCTCCAAAATTAAAGAGCGATTGCACATTGAAATGCATTTAATAAGGCAAGACTGACGGAGGGATCAAAGGCTCCTTTGGGATGTATAGAGTTTCACATTCCCAAACCTGAAATTCATGTTGCTGGCCTTGTCTACGCTGGTCATCCACACATTCTCTCTTCAGGTCCACTGTCCTAACACAGCCATTCTTCTACCTGCCTCAGGTAGGTCCACCCACTATAAACTATTGCAGAAGTCGGCTGTATAATTTTTGAGAGGTGAAAATGTTACTGCTTTTCTGAATTTAGTATTAATTTGTTGAAAGAAAACATGCAAACTCTCATAGTTCCTGTAATCTTGTTTTATCCTCCCCCTTTTGTTTTGGTATTAGGTAAGGAACCTTAGAAAGTGCTGTTGGCAGAAACGTGAATCACTCTGAAAAAGTCCTGGCAGTCTGCACATTTTACTTATAATACGTCCTTACTGTGCACCCCACCACCAATCTCAGTTTCCAAAGCCAACTCACAACGAGAACTTTACACCTTTTATGCTGAAGGAAGGGGCCAGCCCGCGGTCCTGTCTGTGGGATGCAGAGGGGACACACGGGTGACAGTGGAAGACACTGGTTAACCGCTTCCTGCCACTTTCAGGGCTCTAGAGGAAATTAAAGTTGCAAACACAAGCGTTGGAAAGCTTTTTCACCGGCTGTTTGTTAAACGGATCTCCAAGGAACACGTTTAACAATATAAACATAGGGTTAATTTTTTTTTTTTTTTTTTTTTGACAGTCTTGCTCTGTTGCCCAGGCTGGAGTGCATTGGTGCAATCTCGGCTCACTGCAACCTCTGCCTCCCGGGTTCAAGCAATTCTACTGTCTCAGCCTCCCAAGTAGCTGGGATTACAGGCGCCTGCCACCATGTCTGGCTAATTTTCGTATTTTTAGTACAGACGGGGTTTCACCAAGTTGGCCAGGCGGGTCTCCAACTCCCGACCTCAGGTAATCCCCCCCGCCTCGGCCTTCCAACGTGCTGGGATTACAGGTATGAGCCACCGCGCCAGGCCTGGGTTAATGTTATTAATGAACGGACGAACGAAAGAGGCCACCGCTCTGTGGCTTCCAGAGGTTTACTCCGGAGTTTCCATCTTGACTCCCTCCCTCCGTTGATTCTGGAACTTACTCCGGGGCAGCTCAGTGCGGTCCTCGCCTCACGGGACAGCCAGGGGGAGCGCGCGCTCTGCTCCCTCGCAGCCGGGTCGCTCCTGCCCAGCCAGGGGACCCCAATCTTCCCGACTCCGACGACGGGTTCGTCCTGCCCGGGCATGCCCCGCCGCAGGCGACCCGGGCCAAGCGTCCCCGCCGTGTCCCCCTCTCTCTCTGCCCACTCCCGGCGCCAGGTGCGCTCTTCCCCAGCCAGGGACCGCGGCGGGTACTCACCGGTAGCAGAACCGCGACGACGACGAAAACAAACTTAAGGGTCTTGGGGTCCGGGAGCCATGGTGTGGTTCCCGACGCCGTCCTGGCTCCTGGATAGCGCCCTGCTCGAGCGCTCGAGGCGGTCGGGGCGCTCTGTCCGCAAAGTCCCATGAGAAGGGAGGTGGGTGGAGGCTCTTCGCCCCTCTGAAGTTTGGGTAAAAAGCGCCAAACTCAATCAGAAACCGTCCGGAAACGGTCCCCGTAGGTCGTGCGCCTGGAAAGGTTCTCGCAGCTACACTGCCAGAATCCGAGCGTGCGCCTCCGCTTTTATACCCCGGAAAAAGGCGTGGTCACTTGTTCTCCCTTCCCGCAGTCACTTCCAGGCGCTCAGAAAAGGGGCACGGCCTCCCCCAGTACCTCGGGGAGGGCCCAGGTTGTGTGCGTGGGTGCATGGACGGAGAGGAACTAGTTCTTGCCGGCAGTGGTGACCCAGGCCTGTGGTTTGATTCCGGGTCCTGTCCAGGCTGTGGCAAGCAGAAGGGGCAGGAGCTGAGGCGCTTCCCACTGCGCTGCTGTAGTCGGGGTAGTGAGGTTCAGAGGAGGCACTGGAGGCCTGTCCTGAGCCTGCTCCCTCCCCAGGACGCCTGTCTCTCCTCCTGTTAAACCCTGAACTACTTCCTGGCTTAAGGACTTCAGTCCACTCTTAGCTTCTGCTCCCACTCCCTCCCCCAACAGCGGCCTCACTGACCACTTCACTGATGCCACTGCCTCCAGCCTCCTTGCTGCTGTGACCCAGCACCAAGCTTCTCTGGCAGGGGCTTGGCACCCATCAGTAGCGGGTGCCTGGCACCAAGGAGGGGCCCAGTGAGCGCATGAGTGGACAGAATGAAGGACGCAGAGGCCATGACGGCCACGTGCAGAGGCTGAGGAGTAGGTAAGAGGGAGAGGAAAGCCAGGGGCATCCCTAGCCACAGCCTGGCACCCTTTGCATAGTCAAGGCACAAACACTCCCTGACCAGCCTTGAGGGCTCTAGTACTGAGGCCCCATCGAGACAGGGGAATCAGGGGAGTGGCTTCCAAAGCCTGTCCCCAAGTCTAGTTTCTACCCAGGTCCAACTGTCTGACCTTGGGCTACTTACCTCCCCATCAAGTTAAGCACACTGCCACTGTGAGGACAGACCCAATGTATGGTATTGAAGGGTGCCAGCTTGTGAGCCTAGGCACTCAGGTCAATGGCACGACTCCTAGACCCTTGGGGTCAGTCGGCTCCTGACCCCTCACATGGTAGGTAGAAGAGGGTATCACTATAGAAATGAAGGTTTTTTGACTCACCAGAAACCTGGGATTGAAATGTCATCCTCTCCACAGGTTTGGATTTGAGCGATGGAGCACCCCAAGCACCTGCCAGGCCCCAGACACTGACCTAGGGTCAGAAATGTGTGCCAGGGCCAGGCGCGGTGGCTCATGCCTGTAGTCCCAGCACTTTGGGAGGCTGAGGTGGCCGGATCACGAGGTCAGGAGTTCGAGGCCAGCCTGGCCAACATGGTGAAACCCCATCTCTATTAAAAATACAAAAATTAGCTGGGCATGGTGGCGGGCACCTGTAATTCCACCTACTCTGGAAGCTAAGGGAGAAGAATCGCTTGAACCCAGGAGGTTGCGGTTGCAGTGAGCCGAGATCATGCCGCTGCACTCCAGTCTGGGTGACAGAGTGAGACTCTGTGGGGAAAAAAAGAAAAGAAAAGAAATGTGTGCCAGGCCCCAGGCACTGAGAAATGTGTCGGGTCAGGAATGTGTGCTGGGTGCAGGTCCAGGCAGGAGGTGAGAGGACAGGGACTTCAGAAAGACTGACAGCATTAACACAGAGCCATCAGGGCCTGCAGCAAAGTCCTTAAAGTACCTTAGTTCCCTTGGCCCTGGAGGGTGAACCACACAGTGTAGACTAGAAACCAGATTGCAGGTGAGGACGCATTCTCTGTGCACTATGTGGGACACTGACTAGGGCTAATGGCAAAAGCCTGTGAGCACCTCCTGGGAACTGGGCCTTTAGATCATAAAGCTTCCATTTAAGAGGGACTTACTAGCTTGTGATGGAACACTAACTGAAGCTCCCCCTGTGACTGAAAGACGTCAAGTAATCTTGAAACCTGAAAAACTCGTGATGCCTTCAGTAATCTTGAAAAAACTCTAATGGGGAGGGCAGTCCCAGAAGAGTTCTGTTACAAAATGGAAATGTATTTTAGTGCTGTGGTGTGATCTTGGCTCACTGCAACCTCCGCCTGCCAGGTTCAAGCGATTCTCCTGCCTCAGCCTCCCAAGTAGCTGGTATTACAGGCACATGCCACCACGCCCGGCTAATTTTTGTATTTTTAGTAGAAATGAGGTTTCATCATATTAGCCAGGATGGTCTTGATCTCTTGACCTTGTGATTCACCCACCTCGGCCTCCCAAAGTGCTGGAATTACAGGCGTGAGCAACCTCACCCGGCCTACAAAATGGAAATGGTTGACATGGGATCCTGGTGCCTGAGGAAGGCAAAGAGGAGACACTCATGAGCAGGGAGCCTCTGTTCCCCTCAGACTGACTCTGGAACTGGGTGAGGAGCTGCTGGATTCTATGATCACTTGGACACTTCCCTATACACAGCTCTTTACTGACTGACCAAGAGCTACTTAGTTTATAGACTGTCGTTCTTAGGTGAATGGACAACATCCTATTTGGAAGGCCACCCCTCTGACGGAAGAAGGCAAAGGCAAATCGGCCGGGTGGGTTGGATTGCATGCTGTTTTCCTAGCGTTGATGGAAGATTTGAACAGCAGCAAAAGCCCCTGTACTTGGGTTTTTTTCTGGCTCATGGACAGTCGTCAACATCCCAGTCATAGAGTTGGGAAGGAGAATGTGAAAGTTGATCACACAAATTGGGTCATTCTTGTCATACCCAACTAAAACAGAGTCAAGAGGCCATGGGGAAAAAATCAGTGTATTACCCCTGAACTGCAATTTTCTGTAAGCCTGGCAGCTGTAAGCTGAACCTATTAATAGTTCTATCTAATATCTATTGACACAACCTGCTGCTGCTCTAAGACCAGCTTGACCCACTGCAGTCACTCACCAGTCAGAGCATGCCACTTCTTCGATTTGTACAGCGCCAATGAACTTTCTGGAAAAAAAAAAAATACTTAGTATTTCTCCTTTTAAAAAAAACCTTTAAACTTCTCTTTGTTCTTTGGACATACCAAAGACAACTTGGTCTTTGTGTATGCCAAGAATTGCAATTCTTGCTTTCCAAATAAAGCGTATTAAATTTGGATATTCGTCTCTACATTTTCCATTGTTTCCAAGAGTAATGGAAAACTGGCCTATTGAAGGGATGTCCATATGGGGCCCAACCCTATGGAAATCTCTAGGGGTACTTGAGGAGTGCATTAAAGTAGGACATGCCCATAGCGGTCAGTAGAACCCACCCTCAGGTTTGGAAAGTGACTGTAATCAGCAAGAGATACCCCTGTGTACTCCCTTGAGGTGGTCACCAGGGTCCACGAAGTAAAATAAGTGGATATGGGGGAACCACAGCGATGCAGAGATGGGCTGAATCAAAACACATTTCTCTTGCTGTCTCTCAGAGCATAACGCCAATAAGAGCTGTTCTGCCAGCGGGAGAGACACAGACTGCCTATGGTTATGAGGCAGATTCCCTGATGGGGAGGCCCTGAACATTCTTGGAAAGTGAGACTGAGGGCAGGGTCCTGGGGGGTACAGGTGAGTCTCCACGGGAACAGAAACTGACTGTGGATTGTCTTTTGCTTACCTGGTGGAGGCTGCAAATGCCCAAAGTGCTATTAATATAAAAGAACTGAAATAAGGTATTATTCTAGTTTGGGCCACTAAGCTGCACTTCCTTGGACCAAGAAACATGCCGTTCAGTGCATAGTGCTTAGCCATGGGCAGAGAGATATCCTCCTTAGAGTCATAATTTGATAGGGAAGCAGAACAGTCAACTGAAACATTATCTACAATGGGGGGAGATAACAAGCATGAAGGGCTAGCTTCCACGCCTTCACCGGTGTGTGCCCCTACTCCACACAAGTGGGCTAAAGGAGTATCCCCACTGGACTTTCCTCCATTTTTCTAGTGAATCTGGGGACAAGGGGGTGGGAAGGATGCTTGTATAATGACTGTCATTTTGTTGTTGTTGGGGTTTTTTGAGACACAGTCTAGCTCTGTCGCCCAGGCTGTAGTGCAATGGCACGATCTCGGCTCACTGCAATCTCTGCCTCCCGGGTTCAAGTGATTCCCCTGCCTCTGCCTCCCAAGCACCTGAGACTACAGGCCCCCGCCACCTCACCCAGCTAATTTTGATATTTTTAGCTGAGACAGGATTTCACCATGTTGGTCAGGCTGGTCTCAAACTCATGACCTCAGGTGATCTACTCGCCTTGGCCTCCCTTAAGTGGTGAGATTACAGGCAGCGTGAGCCACTGTGCCCAGCCAGCGACTGCCATTTTTGTCTTTCTTCCCCACGTTACCTCAACTCTCCCCTCCTCTCCACCTGCCACCTGGTGCAGTGGCCACAGGATCGGGGCTACAACTACGAGTGCTGGAAGCAGCGACGACTCCTAAGCCAGAAACTGAGACTATGTGTTTAGACTTTTCTGTCAATTTTCTTATAGACCTCATGGATGTGGGTTGTGCTTTGCCCCACCTGCCAAAATAGAGGCTAACCGTATATGCAGCTACATTGCCTGATATGGTTTGGATGTGTGTCCCTCCAAATTTCATATTGAAATAGGATCTCATATTGGAGATGGGCCTGGTGAAGGTGTTTGGGTCGTGGGGGAAGAACCTTCATGAATGGCTCACTGCCCTCCCCACAGCAGTGAATGAGTCCTTCCTCTATTAGTTCACTCAAGAGCTGGTTGCTTAAAGGAGTCTGGCACCTCTCACGTCTGTCTCTTGCTCCCTCTCATCCTGTGATGTGCTGGCTCCCCTTTGCTTTCTTCCATGATTAGAAGCTCCCTGAGGCTCTCACCAGAAGCTGAGCAGATGCAGGTGCCATGCTTGTACAGCCTACAGGACTATGAGCCAAATAAACCTGTTTTCTTTATAAATTACCAAGCCTCAGCTATTCCTTTATAGCAACTCAACATGGACTAATACATTGCCTATTGGTAAAATAGCCCATTAGTTCTGCACCTATGTAACCCTGCCCTGTATGAATGGAAGTGGACTGAGGGGATACGCTTGCTGCCTGAATATTGCTGTCAGCAAACTGGCCCATCACAATTGCTTTTAAAGTGGAAAACTTTGAATATAAGTGAAAAGAAAAAGGAGGAGGAGTTGAAAGTAAAAGAATGAATAAATGGTTTATGTAATGAGGAAAATCTTATATTACAGTAATACCAAGAAAGAGACGCAGAGGAAGAGAAGACATTGTCTCTTAGC